ACAGTTCCCCGCACTCTGGATAGCCGCTATTTACCTCAATTACGTAATTCACCGTACACAACCGGCCGCGCAGCTATCCACTATAGGCATCGCATCGCATGGTGATGGCGCAGTCGATGGTAGTAGTGGTAGTGTTGATGGTGGTGGTAGTCGACTGATGACACGTGTTTGCGCTACCGCCGCCATGCAATTAGCCCCCAATGTAATTTCGCGCCATAAGAGCGTGCCATGCTCTTTGGCCTAGTGCCGTTCCCGTGGGCGCATCGGTACACCGGTATTATGAAGAGGGAAGTGATTTCGTTTGGGACACGTAAGGAAATTTGAGCCTCGTGCCGTCTTCGTATTTTGTATTCGACGCGTTTTTGTATATTGATCAGATTAATTCGTCATTAACATCAATTTCCATCGTCAATATCCGTTTTGCATATCGCTTTTAAAATTAACATTACTTCTAAAGTACAATAATTCTTAATAGTTTGCTGTAGAAATTTCTCTCCTGTATATTTACATCTAATTTCCAAAAAGCTTTTAATCCAATTCATAGAAAAGTGTGAAGCGTCTTTATTCACAATAACGCATGTTTGGAGAAAAAAAATATTAACATTTATATATTTTTATTTCTTATATGTTAAATATGTTATTTTATGTATGAAATATAACTGATACGTTTTACGTCAATATAGAATTGTAATGGAATGCAAAAACTAGGTATTTTAAAGTTATATTATTTATATTAATACTTTAAATATATTTAAAATGTCATTACGAACATAAAATAGAATTCCGCTTAAATTTTTTTATATTACTGAAATTTTTAAATAAACATATATAAACATTTCTTAAAATATATTCACATTTTCTTCGACATTTATATAGTTATTTATTATCAATAAAGTTTTGTAATTAAATTCTTCAATATATCTGAAATAAGTCCTCGCATAATTGAAACATCGTCTGTATGTCAGTGAAACGTGACGCAATGTTAATAGATGATATATAATTTAGCAACTAATACTATTGTAAAGGATAACCGCGCTCAAGACAGTAATTGTGCTTGCTCTGTCTGATTAAGCATAATTATAATCTAGAAAGAAATGTCTCTAGGTCACTATGCTATGACGATCAATTTCTGTTTAAACCGCATTTCGCGTCGTGTAGGTATATTTTTAAGATATGACTGAAATTTTTAATAAATTTATTTTTGTATATTATCAATAAACTAATAAATGAATTAATATTTTATATTTATTTACTTAAATTAGCGCTTAAATTAATAAATAATTATCGCTGTTCCTGTACGTGTTTAAAATTTTTAAATTTAAATTAATAATATCGAGATAATATAATTGATGTGATGAACGTATATCTAATCATCATAGATTTCATGTTTAACAATCATATAAATAAAATCAAAAACACAATTAATATTGAAAAAAAAAAGTTTTAACAAGTCACTTAACGAAGTATATCAGATTATGCAGAAAATGTTTTACTCGCTCGTTTATCATCAGTCATCCGTGAGAAAAGAGCTCAGCCAGGCGGCACATAATAAAAGTTATTAATTTTAATTACAAATGTAAAGAATCAATGAAATCATATCTAATCGCAATTTATATTAAGTTAATTACACTAATAAGTTACATATAACATGGAGATCATGATTAATAAATGTGTGTAAGTACATACAATTAGATTATCCATGAATCTAATCTATCTCTACGAGAGTTTCACGACGCATTTGTAAATATCGGAAAAAATATTTGCTTTATTAGTTTGTATGATCGTCTTATTTTTTATTCTTCATGCTGAAATTTTTTATATCATTGCTATTGTCGCCTACATATATTGTTTAATACAATTAGATTAATTAAATGCAAAACAAATAATCTTTATGTACCCACACAACTATTATAATTATTTAAACTGTTTTTATAAAATTCTCATAATGACATTATATTATACTAATGTACTTAATAGTATTATACTTATAATTTCAGATATAACAATAATAGCGATTTATGATCGAATACAATTTATACATCATCGTATAAATAAAAAGGATAAGTAATTGTTTAAATAGCATTGATGCAACACATTGATGCAAAGACCATCTTTTGAGATTTAATCGGCGAGAATTATTGTCAAATTTATTGGCACTTTATTATCGCCAACCTCATCATTGATGCAATCACGATGGTGTATATACTTTGAAGCAACAAGAAAAGGGAAAAAATATCGCGCCTTTTTTATATACTCCATCTTTTACCAAAAGTAGACGCCCTTCGTATTGAATTAATGGGCGGAGCGAAGGACATCCTTTGCTGCTAAAGTGTCATTGCCAATAATGTTTATGCGATCAGCCGAAAAACTATAATCTGGATTAGAATGCACTACATTTCAATGATTCTAATCTAGACGAATCAAAGGAAAATCTATCTTAATAAAGATCACAATCTATAAAGAAAGATTTAATACATTATATTTCGAAATCTTAATACATATTCCTTTGAATAGTATTAAGTAAATATTTACTTATAGTAAGTAAATATTCACCCAATGTAAAATAAAAGTTAAATCAAATTAATGGTTCTTATATCAAATAAATATATGTTTACATTTAGTAAATATTTATTTAGAACTATTCAGACAAATGTTTATTAAAATTTACTATCATTTTTTCATTAAAAAGTAATGATTAACTACTTTTTTTTATTTTTAATAGTAAAAACACCATATATATCGTGCAATGCTTGTAATACTTAAAATAAGTAATTAATTACTATCTTTTAATAATAAATTGGCTAGTAATAAAGTGGATTTCTACAAGGGTTAAACATTAAAAATTTTCTATGAAAATCATTGATACGCATAGTAATTATTTAAAAATTTATCGATCTCAAGTTTAGTACATTGTGGATATTTATATTTATAAGTATTTACATATCATTTACGCTTATACGTATTTTGGTGAGCGATAGATATTTGAGTTAAAAGTAGAAACAAGATACAAAATGATTGAAAAATAAAAGGATCAAGAAATGAATAAAAGTAAAGAGTACGCTTACATATGTTTTAATAAATGTAAACTAGCGAAAGTTAAAATTTATTTTTTATTTAAAGCATTTAATTTAAAAAAGGGATTCATAAATTGATATGTTAGCACTAATGATTATTCTTCACAATATATAAAAAAGGCATACAACTATGTATAAGTTTCATGAAATCAGAAATCTGAAGAATCGGCAAATTTTTTTAGAAGAAAAAATATTTTTCTCAAGAAAAATAATTTTAAGTGATAGTACGTGAAAACAAAATAAATTTTTGCATTGCAACGGATGTATAATAAAGTAGCACAGCGAAAAATAGAATATCAAAAAGTCAGTGGCCTCATATTACTGAAAATCTCATTGACCTTGATTTTTCCTTAAGGATTTATTGATTTTGCCTCGTTGAAGCTAAGATACTTAGACATCTATTATCAAAAGCGAAATTTAAAAAATAATTATGATATAAATTTGAACCGATAAGAATAAATGTAATAATTAAATAAGAAAGAAATTTCATATTCATTCGAAAATAGAATCTTAATGTTTGAATATTTTTATGTGAATTTACATACATATTTAATTCTGAATTTATATACATTTCATATCTGAGGAATTTAAAAAATTATTTTTGAAAAATTGGCAAGAGAGAGAGAGAGAGAGAGAGAGAGAGAGAGAGGGAGAAAGGGAATTGGACAGATCAATAATAAAATTATAAAGTAGCTTGCTATTTGCACGTTGCTACTTATTTAATAAACACAATTTTTCTATTGCTGAAAATAGATGCAATTATGAACAAAATTTTTACAAAAATAGAAACTAATAGACTCTTTTTGCTCGTATTCAAGACTATCAGTTTTAGAAAAGTATCACGAACATACGTTCATCTAAATTCAACTGAACAATCGAAAAGTACTCAACAATTGGAATGTCACTCATCTCTCACCTTCTATCACAGTGACTCTGATAGTGCGATTTAGTCAGTGAATCAAGCAAGTTAAAAAGAATAAACAGACGCAATTCTGTGACGCGTAATTCGCGTCTGATGTTTCTAGTTTCTTCCTCGAGTATATCTCCGACGATATCAGTTAGACCTAATACGCGCGACGAACGAACGGACTTCCCCAGATATACAAAACACCTTCGCGTTGTCGGTCGCCTCGAGGGCGTCCGGGTGTACATGGGCGTGGTTATTCTCCAAGCAACTCCCATTTGGACACCATAATGGCCTCCGCAAAGCCAATCATCGTCGCGGATTTCATATACAATTGGTGGGGAGTAAGATGACGTGCCAATCGTAAACGTAGCTGTCGCTCGTTGTAGGCGTGGCCTTGAGTAGCGCCACCGCGGCGACTTTCAGAAACGGTGAACCGGGCTCCGGGGAGAGGCTCCGGCTTCATTATGTATCATTATACCGGTCCGCGCCGCGCGGTGTGCACTGCAGTTACTGGAACCAGGCGCGCGTGTGTGCTTTTCTCTCTTCTTCTACGCCCTGGTCTCTCGTCGTCGTCTTCTTCTTCCCTTACCTTACCTTCTTCTTCGTCCAGCCGGTACGGAACCCGTGTATACGTCGAGCCGTGCACGATACGTCTCGTCGACCAAGTAATCGTGGCACGACGCGTGTAAAAACCATATCGTCGCCGAGGAAGTGCGCGAGCGCGCGCTCGGTGTCGCGTTTGTATACGGCGGTGCAATTAAATTGGCGACAAACGCGAGTGTCGGGATACACGCAACTGCGATAGATTTTCGGCTCCGTGCGGAACGAAGCCGAATCGGAGAGAATCGCAATCTCATCCTCGTGCTTGCCATCCACCGCGCGGATGATCGCGGACCTTGACGCGGTGACGTTTCGTAACGCCGTTCGTTCGGCGGAGTCGAGACTGTGTTGAAAAGTGATCGAGTGAGACGTTTTCTTCGACTGGTGTAAACGTTTGTAACGTGAGTGAAAAAGACGGATATGCCGACAGTCTGGTCACGCCGTCGCGGCGCGTCTCTGTTTGAAAGCCGAGCGACGACGAGCTGACGCACGGCAGCAACCGAACAATAACATCGACGCCATCGACGGACTCTTTGGTCCGACACAGTGTTTCCGCGAGGACTACGCGTGTGAAGTGGACGGTGTGACAAATGGTGTCCGAACTGATAAACAAAAGCATCCAAAACGTGAGCCCGACGGATAGTAGATAAGGATACGTGTAACAGAGGCCACCTTGAAACAGCCAAAAGTGTGAATCCTGCAGTGCGAGTCCCTTGGGAAAACAAAGGAGAAGTCCGTGATAGTGCAACTTGAGGAAAGTGTCGAGCGATCACTCAAGTGACACTCCCGTCTTCAGCTCCGCAGTGTAAATTCTAGAAACTGAGCTGGAATTCGAAAACGCTCAACCGCGCCGGATAGAGGTTAACTCTCGCGATCAGATGACGACCTTCCGCGCTCGTTCCGACACTCGGTCGAGATAAATTGTACGGGGCACACGCGCGGTGTGTGCTCGTCCGTATAGAGAAGTCCCAAAATTCGGGCCCCGTACGGAGGAGGATACGCGACGGTCGCGGCGGCGACGACGTCGTCGGCGAGTTCGACGGCGGCGAGGACCGTGGGCTGTGGCGGCGGCATCGACGTTGTGTCTAAGGTGGAGCGTCCGGGCAGCACGACGACGCTCAATTTCACGGATCTGGGGAGCCCATTCGGGGCGGGCGACCCCTGTCCGTCGAGTACCCCGACCCCGAACAGCATGTCGGGCGGCGGTGGACCGACCGGTGGCGGCGGTGGTGGAGGCGGCGGTGGCGGTGGTGCCGCCGGTACCGGAGGCGCCGGCTCCGACATGGAGCAGCATCTTCATCATGCCGGCCTTGGCTCGGTGACGCCCGGTCCACCCGGCGGTAATGGCGGAGACAGCACGACCTCCAGCACCCCGGTCTCCCAGAGTGGCAAATCCGCCTTCATCGAACTCCAGCACAACAACCTCTACAATCCGGCGACTCTACGGAGCGGTTACCCAGGTGGACATAATGTACCTGGCGCGCATCAGTTTTCGCATCAGGTCGGCTCGCTGGCGGCGCATCAAGGCTCCGGGCCCGGCAGCGGGAATCAGCAGCACGCGGACGCGGGCTTTCCCAGTCCCAGATCGCTCGCCGGATATCCGTTCGCGCCCATGCACCAGCACAACGCCTACGGATATCACATTGGAACGTACCCCCAGTGCCCCTCGCCGCCCAAGGACGGTGAGTACCCCAACTGTATGTATTCGCAGCCTTTTTTATTCCTACTCTTAGATTACGTATATCTAGTTAACGTTAATCGGTGAAATCTCCGTTTCTTGCGACTCGGATCAGTGTCTTGTGCCGACGGTGGAATATCGCGAAAAAAATATGATAATGTAATTTGGTGCTCGTCAGTGTGAATATCGTCGGAGTGATGTTTGCGCGAAGTGATGTTAGTGCAAAGTGAAACGGAGATATTCATCGTAGGGCTCAAGATGAAAATGCATCAACGATTTATGGCGTTACCAAATTTGGGATGTATATTAAAATCTCGCGAAAAACATTATATTGATTCTCAGCAGAAAAGAGCTTTGCTATTGTTGTAAAGTTCTTTGATGTAATTGATTTATACTCTATAAAACTTTTGGAGTGAACCTCACTCTTAAAGATTGAAAATTGAATCAGACTCTTTCTCAAGACTAGCTCAATTTTCACTCTTTAGAGTGAGATTCTGCTTCAGAAAGAATTCAGAGAGTACATTTACATTCAAGAACTAAGGGCAACAATCAATGGTTATACATTCAGCAGAGAAAGCAGCTTTGCAATTGTTGTAAAATTCTTCAGTATGATTGTTTTATATATTTAAATCTAATAAGAAGAAGAGTAAGAGCAATCATATTAAAGAATTTTATAACAGTTATAGAGCTGCTTTCTCTGCTAAATACAGCCAATTGTATTAAAGAATTTTACAACAGTTGCAAAGTTGCTTTTTCTACTGAACGCAGCCATTGATCGCGCTTGGTAGAAGTCAGTGCTTAGTAAGCGCGTTTTGCATCAATTGGATTATTCTTTTACAGGGTTGATCACAAAATTAGAAATCACATAGAATTCTTGATTAAAAAATTAATTTATGTTACATCTACGTAGTTACGAAATAGCAATTTAACAATTAACAATGCAAGCAGTATCAGCAAATTAATAATAATTTACATTACTAAATTGATCTCTCAACAAAATATTTAACATATATTTCCAAATCAGGATAAAAAAAAATTTGAATATTATTGAAAGTGAGGGAAAATCAAATTTTGTCAAGAATTTAGAATGAGGAATTTGTGACACAACTCTATTTTAGATCTGAAAGAACAGTCTTATCTCAGCAAAGAAAACTTTCAACAATTGCAAAATAAACGTTCTATTGAAGATGACATTTGTTTGTAACTTAGGAATAAATAAACTAGCATGAATCAGAAATTATGTCATATTTTGTGTCGAGAATATTAATGACTCAAAATAGAAAAGCTCTGAAAGTTAGCTCGAATATTCATCTTGAGCCCTGCATTTTAGATAGTAAATAAATAAATAAATATAGAGATATTATCTTTCGAAGTCATCCATCATCGGTGCCCTAATACGTGGACGACTTTGAGTTTCGAAGGCGAGAGTATTGTGCCAGCGTTATAACATTTGTCAAAAATGATACGGTCATCTTGACGCGAAGTAGAATAAGACGACGACAGACGTTTCCGGTGGGTCACCTGTATTTCGCATCGTGGCGAGCGCTTTATTACTATGACTTTTTTATACGGCCGTAGGACTTTATTGTCGGTTGGCGAATGTCTTCATCACGCGCAAATAAATTTCCGTGCAAAAATAAATGTGGTACGCTTATATAAATGTGATATGCGACGCAAACTACACAATCAGATAGCTGTTCCACTGTTGTAGAAAAAAAAGAAAACAGTCAACGTTTATTGCGATTCGTCCACTCGATTCCTATTTACGGTTCCTATTGTTACAGACTTTTGAATCAATCACTCACACCCTTATCTTCCGTGACATGACTTTTTCTAAAAAGAAAATTTACAGTACGAAGCGTTATAAATTTTTTTATATAGGTGATCTCTGTTTCCATTGTGAAAGTATGAGATCTTTAAAAGAGAGACTTTAAAAAGAAAATTTAAAAAATGAGGCGTGCGAAAATCTAAAAGATACAAATAAATATGCTTATAGCTTTCTCTTCCCTGTGTCTAAACGTATCCCAAGAATCTAGAGTAGCAGGTAGCAGCCAATCGACGTTATACCTATTCTACGGCACACAATGCCATGAAACGAAATAAGATATATGACTAGGATGACTTCCACCAAAAAAGACCATAAAAAGTCTCGCGAATCGCCTAACGAACGAGACAAAAAGGTTCGGGATCAAACGGGAGCAGTTGCAACTTTTTCTTCAGGAACTCTTTTTGCTCGTACAAATTTTCTTTTCAATCACCTTCTTCTCTCGTGTTTTTACCTTCCTTCAGAATCGCATTAGCACGATGTAATCGCGACTTTTATTTTACGCGCGAAATCACGAGTCAGCTAATTACGATCATTATCGGATTCGCCTCTTCGTCGTAGATCGCGGAATCGCTCAAGGCACTATACGATTTTACGATAACTAACTTTAAAATGTCTTTTTAAACTTGTTATCATTGGATTTTGAAAAAGCTAGTTAGTTTTCGCTATCTTAGGATACTAATTAAGATTTATACGCATAAAATAAAGAAAATATAGCAAAAGAGTCGTATTATGAAACAATAAATGCATATTTAACTTAAATTGTTTCCATTGATGATAGGTTGTCTTGTTATCTCATGGAAATTTCTATTTTATTTCTCTGTTTGAATATATTGTATCTAGCGCAGCTCTCTCTCTCTCTCTCTCTCTTTCTCTCATAATCTAAACATAATATGACTATATACACATCCGCATCGCGAAATCGCGTGCTCAAGATAACTTGTTTCACCGAAGGAAGTCCGCATGCTACGAGGCTCCATGCTTGGTCGATCGCATTTTCAAATATATATAGTCTGGAGTGCTGACTGGAAATATTCTGAAGTCGTGGCAACATTCGGCGGATAATTTATCGCGGCCAACATACGCGCGATGTATGGAGCAACGAGAAAACCCCCGTTGGCGCGCTTAAGCAAACGTTCGCCGAAGGTAACGTATAACCAAATAGCGGCGACAGTTCGCTACCCTCCCATCCGAGGCTCATGAATTCGTAATGACTGCCGTGTGTCCACCATTGCGGCATGTGGCAACCTCTCGAGAAAGTCCGGCGTTTCTACATATAATCCACTAGCGGGATGACCCTCGCTCCGGCGTGCGGGCAATTTTCGTGGCGCCTTTCTTGAAATTACCGGTGATCTCCCGACGAAAGCCGCGAAAGGGTTCGCGATGCGGTAGGCAAACTTTTCCGCCAACGGAAGGAATCAGCGTGTCATCGGGCGCGATGCAATTTTTGTTTTACGACTAGCGAGCGAGCGAGCGAAGAAGCGATCGGTCGTCAGGGGGTTGAATTCTCACGCACGGAGGGTTGCGCGGAAACTTGCATTTCGCCCTTAAATTGCCGATAATTCCTCCCTCCCTTCCCCTCACAAAACGTATCACTTTTCATAAATCGCATAGCAGCAAAATGCATATTCTCGATTTGCTTCGCGAGCTGCATCGTAAAAACTTCTCTATCGAAGGGTTGACATAACTTTGGTATTTTTGCGAAAAAGTTTTCTCGGGGTTTTCTGATAGAGACGACAGTTACGTTATCGTCGCGATATATCTCAGAAATACGTCAGAAATACTCATGGCACTTTTACTAAGGTATTGTGCAGAGGCAAGTATACATTAGCCTCTAGAGACTCTCTCTAATCAGAGTCTGGATACGAATCCGTTTTGTATGCGGGATCTCTAATTTTTAGCAAAACCACGCGAAAGAACATACATTTACTATTTTTTCTCTTCCTGTTCTACTTTTGTCTTATCTTTTTCTGTCTCTCTTTCTCTAATTTAAAAGCGCATTTTATCATGATTTGTATTTAACAATAGTTGCCTGATGGCTTCTTATTTATTCCAAATTTTTATCTTGATTATGATATACTGATTATTATGCTTTATCTCTTAATTAGCTTGTATTTAGCAGGAGAGGTCCTTAACTAGTTTTTCATTTCTTGAATATCTCAATTTGTCTTTTTGAGATTTTCATATTCGTTTGTTGTATATTACTTTTCTTTTCTAATCTTATTATTTTATACTTTAAATACTCTTTTTGTGGTTATAGTTTTTTAATTCTTTTAATGTATTAATTTATATACTTATTATAATGTATTAATGGCAAACATTGAAGGGAGTGTATTCCAGAGTATCAAATAAAATGGCGATTCAATCACTCAATCTCTCTCTTACTCTCTCTTTCTCTCTCTCTCTCTCTCTCTCTCTCTCTCTTTCTCTTTCTCTCTCTCTTTCATACATAATTGCTTAACATGATGGACCAATCAAGAGTGATTGTTTTGTGTCTTGACTCTGATTAGAAGAGCTTTAATTTAAACAAACGAATGCGTGATGTAAAAGTCGATATCATAAAGATTACGGCACTTACAATTAGTTCATTCAGTCGATTAGTTGAAGGAAAATATGAAGTTACAATAATGATCCGTCTAATTGCTAACGAGCACGTCATATGTTTATATATTTCGCTCAGAACAATTCCGTCATTTATCTTGGTGTTTTAACGAGGCGCATAGCTATTTGTGATTATTTCAGAACGATTTTGATTATGCGATTAAATTAACAGTGACATGGTAATTGCAAGATATATGTACAATATTGCAATATTATAATAAATTTGCATTTTTTTATGCTCAATTGATTTAGAGCGACGCTTATTCTTAAAATCATAATTTAACTGTATTTATATAATTGAATTGAAAAATAATTATGCGAATATATTAAAACTTGTTTAAGTTAAAGTATTTTTTAATAACATTATTTAGCACCATTACATAATAATTTATAAGAGGAAAAAATTAATAAAACATTAATTTTAAATATCAATAGATATTATTTATATTTCTTGTAGAAACAAACAAATAAGGCGGATAATATATAACCTCAAGATAGTCAGAGTTCAATAAACTGCCACACATTGCGCAAGTGTTTAGCTAATAAAATATTATCATTATACCTTTCACGCGCGCGGTGAATAAACTGTAGTAGAGAATGCACTTCATAAAAGTGATTTATAACAAAATCGTCCGCACTTACTCGACGCTCGCAAGATCGATCTCTTGATCGTTGCATCGTCACGCATGAAATAAGCTTACATAAAATCCATGAGTGGTACATTAATAAGTGAATGGTATCGGTTGAAGAATTATTAGAAATGTCGAAAATTTCTCGACGAAATTTTTCATCACGCACACGATGCTTTTGATACAAACACTCTTAAGTATTTCGCTTGCTCACAATCAACGCGTAAATTTACGATTGTAACATCGGCGCAATTACAAACGTTTCCTCAGCTTGTAGGTAGAGTCGTGCTTCGGCGGCGACGCCGCGATTATCGCGGTTGTTCGCGTTAAATGTTTTTAGACAGCAGTTCGACCAACGCTAATGAAGTTGTCTGTGGGATTATACGAGTATCAGTGAGGAACTGCAAGAACGTAAAGGGAGGGTTGTCCACGCATACATCACTTGAGATCCACGTACACTCCAAGTACACTCGGCGCCTTTGCGCACCTTCGAGCAATCTTATCGTCGCGTCGCGACAAATGAACCGGCCATTAACCGACTTGTCCGCGCGTCCGCGTCACGCCCGTTGTCCTTCTTCCCTTCGAATGAAGCTGAAACGTGGCTAAAGCTGGAATCCAATTAGCGGGAGCTCTTGACTCTTCTCGTATCAAACGGAGGCCCCGGTATCTCGCATCAGTCACCTGACATCCGACCGCCGCGCTGCCCGACTTAATCCGGAACGGTCGAAAGACAATGCGTGTTCCAGCTCTGAGTGATGGATTAGGTATTAAATGGTTGTTTTCACAAGGATTAGGTGGATATACTGACCTGAAGAGCACGCCGACCTGGCCTTTTTCAAAACCTTGTCGATCCACGCTTAGTTGAATTGCTTAAATTTGTACGGAAATCATATTTTTTTAGAAATACTCTCCTAAAAATATTTTTGTAATTTCCAGAGTCGAATTTTTAAAGTAATAAAAAGAAATTTAAAGTAATAATGACAAGTGTCAAGAACAGGACAAATTTAATAGAAACATATATTCAAGAATTTGAACAAGATTTCATATAAATTAATCCTAGAGATACTCGAATAATGTTATTGTCAAAATATAAAACATGTAATAGACAAGCTTATTAAAATATTAGTAATATCAATTTAACATCAATCATCATTTAAAACATATTTATTTTCGAATTTAATTATTAAAAGACTTTTGATTTAATCAAAAAATGAAATATGTATAATAGAGCAACTTATTTAGAAATTATGAGTTATGAGCATGATATCCAATTCAGAAAATCTTTCAAAGCTACGAATTTCTTAATAGCAGCCTCCGGCCAAAGGAATGGAACGTTTTCATTCTCAGTTACGTTGAAATACAAAAAAATCAAATCAGAGGAAGCTTTTTCATCGTTTCTTGTGCGCAATGTAGTAGCGATGTGGAAATACAAGATGTCGGTTCAGCGACAATGTTAGACAGGCTGCGTTAAGTCCAGCCTAGGGCAGAGACGGACACCTTGTAATTTCGAGTTCTTTGGATTGAGAGCCGCGCGCCTACCGTGTGATTATCAACGTCGCATTAATCGGTCGGTAGGCTTATTATCATACATTCGGTTGAGTTTGATTACGTGACTCTAAAAAGAACCTTCAGCGATGCGAGGCGGAATATACGCGCGTGCACCGCTGCAAAGTGCTACTTTGCAGCAGTTTCTGCCGCTACCGCGCACTTCGCGTACGCCTCGGTGTTAAAAACTATAACCCTAGCCTCTCTAGTTTATCCCCTTGTAACGTGAGCTCTCGCGGAACGGCGTGAGAGAAAAAGTGCATCCATAAAGTACCTTTGATTTTTCACGCGCAAAGTTACATTTCGCCTGTTTGACTTCGCGTCGCCTCAACTCGACTGTAATTAATAGTGGCAGCTCATAATCGTGGCTAAAACGTCTCTATAAAATTTATTGCGCACTATATTATGCGTCGATGCACTGCACGACAGTTAATTTGTATCATGATAGAAGTGAGATTGAGACCAATTGAAAAAGATTTTCCATTTATAAAGAATAATTAACAAAGAAATTTATATTGTATAATTATTTTAAAATCAATCCTAATTATAGTTATATTATTTTAATGTTGGCGAACAAAAATTTGCGCTACAAACTTCAAAATTCAAGCAACTGTAGGTAATTTAAAAATGAATTAATCAAATTAAAAAATTTAAAAAAGGTTTTTAAAGTTTAAAATCTTTATTTTTAAAAGTTCGTTATGTCTTGTGAATGAGTATAATTTTACATATAAAAAATTTCGAGTTTGACAAATGAGAAATTTTCTTCTCACTTTGTGAGCTTGTCACGTGCCTAAAAAAAAAAAACTTACGAAAATTTTCGATTTTCTAACGTGAAAGCTTAAACTTTTTCGAACATAAAATCGTTTTTAAAAATGTTTTTTTAAAAATTTTTTATCATATTCGAGTGTTAATTTAGCATGTGATGATATTATTTCAAGATTTCATGTTAAATTAGTATTCATACGTTTCTTAGTTAAGTCTTAGTGTCAAATGACGTAATTTATGAGTAAGCGAATAAATAACGTATTTATGAGTAACTAAAAATAAAGTTTTAAAACGTAAATTCTACGATGAATAAATAAAATGTGGGTAAATTTTAACATCAATCATCATCAATGTTAATTTTACTGGAAAAAAATATGTTTCCATGTTTGTTTACAAACTGTGTCGATATTATCTCTTTTGTATTAATTCTCTTACATAATATTTATGTAACTTTCTAACATATTCATCTTGTATTAAATTAACCAAAAAATTTGAATTGGACCGTTTGGAACATGCGATTTATTTAAATTCGATATATTTTTCCCAACAAGTATTACATATAGTTGTCTTATTGAAGAGATTTTAATTTACTTCTGTTGAGAAACGAAAAATAAACGTCACGTTTAATATTAATTTAATATAATCTAATATGCTTTTCCATATCCTCAAAGAGTTGAATCATAACGTCAAAGAGTTGGGGGCGGCTACATGGATATTAAATATCGCACACACGCCCAGTATCGCTTCGAAATTGCACGGGGAAGATAAACATGAGCGCAAACACGCGATTGCATCGCCATGGCGCGATGTAACTTGGTTGGAAAGTTTATGGGGATCATTATTGTCTCTTTTACGCGCGATCAAGGCCTCCCTATTGATTCTTCATTGATCCACAGCTTATCGATTCTCTGTTGCGATCCGATTTCAAGTACATGTATAAATCATATACGTGACAATTTGCCGTAAAATACTCTAATTGTAATAGTCGTGTTAATTTTCACAGAGATGAAGAGAGAGATTTTCGGTTTGGATTGCGTCGTATCATTAATTCGAAGTCTCAGCATCGATATCTTTGTTTATTTTTAGTGCCTTCCTTCTCTCACTCGCGAACAACAAAATGTGCCTAACGTTGTAGTGCTAGAAGTGTCCATGGCTCTCCTCTCTCTCCCGGGAAGGCCGCCCGCGTCTCCCCGATGAAAACACGCAACATCGTAATCGCGATATAAAAATAATGAAACAGATTCCGCGCGAGATAGGCGGCGCGGGCGCTGGCATGATGCGCACCTCTATCGAGCTCTACGCTACTTCATTGCATCGCTTTAAGATTGATATATGGCTCCGTAATTAATTACTGTGCCGTTAACACAGTGTAGGGCTTTCTTCCTGCCTCCCACTCTCTCTCTCTCTCTCTCTCTCTCTCTCTCTCTCTCTCTCTCTCTCTCTCTCACTCACACATACTCTCTTTTGACATAACAAGAGCACGCATTCTCTACGTTGTGCTATTATCGCTAATTATCGCAATACGTATGTGAATTGAATAATGCATTTATTTTATCAGATAATTACGCGCGGCTTGTCGAATAAAATATTCCTACTGTGTTATTGTTTTTCGAAAAAAAAACGCGTCATTTCCGTTTATTTCGATTCGATAATTAAAACTCCTTGAATGCTTCAGCGACCTTTACATTTTACGTGATCTCCGGAATCGTCCGGATAGAAAAATGACTTCATTAATCGTATAATACAATGCTTTGTCACAAAAAACAAAATTAAAGAAATATTTTTACGAATAAACTAATGAAGTGGCAAATTGTTTAAATGTTTTCTTCTTTTCTATACTTAAATGAGGTTTTTCTAATATAAATTTGTCAAATATAATTTAAATTCTTCATTGTCTAACACATTATTAAATAATTTTTCAATTAGCTACAAAATCTCAACTATGCAGAAAAAACGATTTTGTTGAAATATTTAAAAACTTAGCCAGACACTGAACTGTAAATAATTTTATTAGATTATCAAAATAATTATGTAGGAAACTTAAACGTTACGAACAAAAAATCTTGATATTTTAGCGACTATCGTTCATAGTTATTTTAATAGATTCTAACAAAATTATTTTTAGTTCTGTATTTAATTAATGATTTAATTTTAGATGCTTTTGAACCGTTCTTTTCATCACTTTATTATAACTATCCATATCAAATTTTCTTCAAGAAAAGAATATATATTTCTTTTTAATAAATGCTCTTTTTAATATATGTATTATAAATTATAAATTTAATATATTATAATTTATAAATACTTTTATCCCCCTATTTTTCTCTACTATTTCGCGATAGACATCTCATCTTGAAATATTCGCGATCGTTTTATTAATGTAAAAAAATCAATAACCGTGTCATGATCACTGTATTATATCGTGATATCAAAATTACGAATCAGGTTTTAGTTTAATTTTATTTTTAGTTCGTACGCGAGTAGTAACGAGGATTCTGAAAGTTGATGTTAGGGTGGTGCATGTTCGCAGACCTCTCGCCATTGGGTGATAAAAGCGGAAGCCTCGTCGACGAGCTCGGCGGTGGTGGCGGTGGTTCCCTCAGGAACGGCAAGGGCAAGAAGATGAGGAAACCGAGGACGATTTACAGCAGCCTGCAATTGCAACAGCTCAACAGGCGGTTTCAGAGAACGCAGTACCTCGCGCTACCGGAAAGAGCGGAGCTCGCGGCTAGCCTCGGACTCACGCAAACGCAGGCAAGTTCTATCGACATTATAAGTCAAGCAGACTAGAGCGCAAGCTTCCCACGACATAGTCGTGCAACGATAAGTACCTCTTATCTCGCGCTACTCGTGACAGGTTGGCGTAAACAAATTGCGATAAACGTAAACACAAAATATAATTCTTTGCCAAAGCAAACATACATATATCGGATTTTTATGTTTTGCAAACTTTAATTATTTAATCACATTAGAATAACGTTATTTATTTTAATATATTAAGATTAAAGACAAAAATTATTAAGAATTATTGGAAAAGTAATTTTTTTTATTGAATTTTATATTTTGCTCTTATATATAAACATAAATAATATTTTAATTTATAAGATTATATTTGAAAGGTCCATTCGAATATTGCGATATATTCAGCAAAACACCATATATTATGTTAATATACCTCACGATATAGAAACCGTCTCTCTATATACATATTTTACCTGGAACTTTGAGTTGTAGTTAGAACAATATCGTGTTGACAAATACATTTGCACCGAATGATAAAATATCTGAGATATATATTTCCGCGGGCAAAACAGGTTTTTCACTCCGATATGGATTATCAGGAAGTACTGTCGGAAAGAACCTCTCGAAATCGTGTAAACGAGTGAATTCCGTGCGAATGACAACGCATCGTACACGACGTTTATCTTGCAAATGATGAGAGACTTTCGCGTCGTGATTAGAATTTTGCATTTTATTGAAATGGCCTGACAATCTTTATTTTTTTTTTACGATGGATGGATCCAGTTGCGTGGTCGGTCCGCGGTAACGGGAGCCCGATAAACGGCATCTGTCAGCATTATCGGCACAAATGACTTTACTAAATCACCGATTCGCCACGCCCTGGACATCGGGGATAGGGTTGCCGTCAGTGTCCAGTGTACCGAGGGAAGGAAAGAGAACAAGTTTCCAGGCTAACGAGGTGCCCATAAATTTTCTCTTGGCGATCGTGCGAGTTTTGCGCGAGCTTTCCACGCGGGCGGGGCTTTATGCGCTCGCCGGCAAAAGATTTTTCGCCAATTATCTGTCGCGCGGTTTCCAATTAACGATTTATTAGCGAAGCTCGAGCTACATAATTGGAGAGAAGTTAATTGGCTCCAAACTTTTCCGTTATAGATTTCTCGGATAGACGATTTATCGATGAGTCAAAGTCCGCGGCTAATTAGAACAATTTCGCCGGACAATTCAAATTCATTCGGATTAACAATCATAATATCGTGTTGGTAGTTTATTAAGTACCGACGTAAAATTAGTTTCTTTATGTTACTATTGATTTGTGTGTGCGGTCTGACGAGATTACACGTTCCTTCGGACAAAATTATGCGTTTCATTGACTGATGCGAGACGAGATGGAGCAATTTTCGCGGTTGCTCTTTGTGCGTTCCTCACCCCTCGAAGAAGTGTGTGCACAATCGTCGTGGCGCAGCGCGTAACTGCGTATCGCGTAATCATGGGATAACTGGCTGTCGTAGCTGGTTGATGTCGTTGCAGGGGGTCCCGGACCGGATAATTTCATTAGACGAAGCACCGCGGGGAGTTATTCTCCCCCCCGTGAGCGAGTGAATCGAGCGCGACGCAACCTGATGAGCAGTCGGCGTCTGGTTGTTTACTAAATACGGTTGTTCGAAATCAACAGCAACCGCATGATCGAGAGAGAGAGAGAGAGAGAGAGAGAGAGAGAGAGAGAGAGAGAAGAAAATTAAATTACGAAATCTCGGCAGATTATCTATTACATCTTCTATACATCAAAATATAATCCGTTATTTAATTTCCGTCAGCGTAGAATTGATTGACGCAACAAACTAGTACAATAAAAAATTCGATAAATGTCAACCTTCATATATACGATTAAGTATATTGGAACGAAAAATGAAGTTTTAGATTTCTCTTTTCGGATGAGTAGAAAAATCTGCAATGAAATAATTGAATTTCACGTCGGATACCACCGTAAATTTTCTTTATTTTGAAATATGGGGAGAATGACTTCTACCTTTTGTCAAACACTCAGCGGCTGCATGTAACGAAGAATGTTCCGCCGCGCGCGATCGGTGGAGCTCTTCAGCAGGCACCGTGCATAATCCGTAATCGTCCAATCAAGGCGTTCGACCAAGCGCCTCTGCCTCTGCACTCTTGGCCCTGCTACCGTCGCGCACTGGCTTTCTTGTCATCGCCACCAACATGGCGCCTTAGCCTTCAGTCTCTTCCATCTTCTCCTCTTTCCTCGTCCCCTCTCTTCCTTATACCACGACAGCCTCGTCGTCCTCCCGGCAATCTCCCCTCGCACATTTCCCCACCGGCTCTCCCCATTCTCCTCCTCCTCTTCCTCCTCCTCATCCTCCTCCTCCTCCTCCTCCTCCTCCTCCTCCTCCTCCTTCTCCTCTTCCTCTTTTCCTTTAGCCTCGGATGAATAAGAGAGAAAGAGTAGCAGGGAAAAAGGGGACGGGAAAGGGAGGGCGAAAAGAGCGGTGAGGATCCGAGGTGAGGCCACGCATCTCTTTTTCTCCGGGGCCTCAATTTGAGGACGTGGTAGCGTTCGTGCCGCCGGTATACACGTGATACACGAAGGGGGTCCAAGGGGGGAGGGGGAGACCAGAGGGATCGGGAAGGACGGGAAAGGGGAAGATAGCAGGGAGTACTCTTCTTGTACACGCGAAGTACATGGGCATACGCTCTCGCTCGCTTCTGCGGATGTATACGTAGGGACGTGGGCACCAACACGCCCGTCTGCGTTCTTGCCACGTACCTTGGGCGTGGTGCTTCCTTTTTCTTCCTCCTCGCCGCGACTAACGTGCCCGATCTCTCCTCATTGGCCCCGGGAATGCGAACACGTCGAAGCGAGATTCGAAAGTCGCGGGAGGGAAGCGTGAGTACACCAAGTGAATTCGAAATTTTGCCGTACTCCTGGTCCATCACGGGGAGGATGCGACATTAACGTCCTCGTAGAAAGAGAGACTTTTTATTATTTCGTAGAAAATAGATGACTCGATTTAGAAAATAAAGACTCGTGATATAAATAAAATAGATTAAAAAAATATTCACTTACATTTTGTACTCTATATATAATCGATCGTAATACTAAATTTATTTTTATATATAAAATTCTCATAGCAAAAATAAATTTTATGTTATTTATATAAGAATCATTATTAGATATATATAATTTTATATTTAAAGCATGCTTTATAAATTATTAAGTCGCACACAGTTTTGCTGTGAAACTACTGCAAAGAAACTAATAAGTAGAAATCACGGAGAAAATTATATAAATATGAAATACGAGTACGAATTAAAGTAAAGACGTCTCGCGTTCAAATTCTGTCATTGAATTACCGAATGAAAATAAATTACGCATTGGAAAACTGCCGCGAAACGCGTTCAAGGTCCTTGGGGATTCAACCACCGCACGCGCGTCATGTAGTTGCGCACGCGATACAACTTCGCGGAAAAGCATCGCACACATCATCGAAAACGCTGCTCACACAGTAGATATACGCACGGGTAATTATTATTCATGCATCAATGCATTCGCGAACATGAGTAACGTACACCGCGCGCGTTCACTGTCGTTCATCGTTATCTCAGTATTGAGATTCTCTGTAAGAATTTATGAAAAAGAAAAAAATATTAATAAATTAGTATGGCACAGAAAAGGTATGCAAAACCATAAGAATTTGCAAACTAGATTTTCAGACCAATTTACGAATCAGATTTACTATGAATTAATTAAAATCTTGTATTTTTACGATGTATCATTGATATCTTATAAATATACATGATTACAAGTGTTATTTGTCGAAGAAAAAAATGTTTGAATAATCGAAATATCGAATATTTGTTATCCTTATATTATCTGATTATAGAATAATTTTATAATTTAAAGATATTGTATACGTATGTTAAAAATCTTTTAAGAATATTATACTGAAGAAAAAAGATTTTATATTAATGGATTTTATATATTATATTATTTTAATTGAAAATAATTTCGTTAATTCACATAACACTACTAATGAAACAAATACATCATGCTCTCCAATAAAATTTTATTCAATGAATTTAAATGATTATAGGTGATATATAAATTCACATTAAATTATTTACAGTTCTAAGACATTTTTTGTTTAATAAAATTTTATTTATTTCATTATTAATATTCTTATTATGTAAATCAATAAGAGAGAGAGAGATTATTTTCAATTAAAATAATGCTGTTGATATAACATTTTTTTTCAGTGTATAAGTATAAATCCTTATAAATTCGATCTTTAGTTTTCGTAATCCGAAACGAGTGCAAAATTACTTTATGTCAACCAATTTCCAATCCTTCATGTAAAAGATTGTTAAACATGCTGCAGCGCAAACCACGTGAATATACGAGATGCATGAAATGACGTTGGGTTCGGAGAACCTTGATCGTATCCGTTCCAAGAGAGCGAAAGAGAGAAGCGGATTAGCCCAGATCACGTTCTTAAGATCCTATATTATATCCACTCTCTTGACCAGTCCTCTGTGTATCTTTCTCTCTCCCGACTATAAAATCATTACGCGGTTTTTCTCCCTTTTTCCGGCTACCGCCGTGACACCGACTTGCGAAATGCGTCCTCGTCTTCGTGGCAGACGTCGATCCCGCCGATAACCGGGCGTGTATGTCTCCGTTCTGTATGTATATCTCCACCTTTCCCTCGTCCACCTTTCCCGCGCATTTATCAGCGTCCATTTATCTGCCTATCACTGCGGTCGCTGTATACATATATAACACAAACACATACGTCGGCAGTCCGTAAGCCTTTCGTTCCGTTATCAGACCAGATGTGTTAGATAGCGGACATAGTTTCTCGCCGGGGAACAATGAATCGGATAATTAATCATGGGTATGGTGTATCGGATCACCGGGGTCACCGCCGGCCCAGCAATAAATCGTTGAATTTATGAAAGTGTTATTTATTGAATAAATGTGGCGGATATACGAGATGCTC